AAGTATACTTTATGTATACCCTTTAGAAAAGTATACATACAAGTGTCATTTAGCTATACTTATTTCCATGCGGGGTAAGTGCGACGGGCATCAAACCCTCGTACAGTCCCCAAATCTTTCAGCGTCAAAATGATAATTTCTAAATGTAGCTAGAATATCCGATCACGATCCAAAAACGACCCGGGAGATTTGAACAGTAAATACAAGCGGGTAGAGGGACGGGGCGGGAGAAGGGGATAGAGAGAGAAGAGAAAGTGTATGCAGCATATGAGACGAGGCGAATGGGGGTGGCGGTGTAGAGTATGGTAGTAGCGAGGTCGCACCACAAAAGGGGCGAAAGGAAAAGGAGATAAAGGAAGGGGAGGGGAGGGAGGGGGGCAAGGAAATAACAGATAAGGGAGAAAATATGACATTTATATTACCCGTTTCAGTTACAGTTGGGGGTGTGTGTAAAAATAAAAGAAAAAAAATAGCGCAGTAGTGACGGGTGGCGTGGGCCAGGGCGCTGGGGGCGCTAAAGGACTCTCAGTTGAACGAGGCGTCGTTGCGGTTGTGAGAGAGCGAACGGTCAGGGTGGCTCACAGTGGCGCTGAGATGATGATGGGGTGGGCGACGGCAAGGCGCGGACCAGGGTGGGCATATGCTCCCGCCCCGCAGCGGAAACCGCTCGCCAAATGGCCCCCCAGTGTGTGTATTCACTCGAGGGAGAAATCAACTAACTGTCCGCTCAAAGTCCGGCAGTCCACAACCAACGACTACACTAGTGTGTGTGTGTGTGAGTTGCGGGGAGGGGTAGGGGCGAGGGAGAGATCACTGAGTGACCGGGCGGCCTGCGGGACACTTCACCGCGCATGCCATATGGCACACCGCGCGTCACGGCTCGCTGCGTGTGTGTATGTGAGAGAGGGAGAGAGAGAAAGGGAGAGAGAGAAAGGGAGAGAGAGAGGGAGAGAGAGAGGGAGAGAGAGAGAGAGAGAGAGAGGGAGAGAGAGAGAGAGATGGAGAGAGAGAGAGAGAAGAAGAGGGAGAGAGGGGGGGGGGGACTGTTTGTGGTCTAGTACGTACAGGGTGGCCCATCGGCGCCGTTCTTACATTAGATCAGTTACCTGTAAATATGACAATTTTCATGTACTTTACCTTAAAACTGGCCTGCTCGGCGGGAGGTTCGGGTTTCTTGCTGCTCACCTGTGCGCAAGAGCCTGCTCTGAAGATACGTGGAAATTGTCATATTCGGGTAACTTACCTGAATGAAAGAAAGATTTTACTTGAAAGTCAAGTTAGCGCGTTAACCGTGCACGGAACCGTACAGGCAAACTCTGTGCGGTAGGCAAGTGTTCGTCAGGAAAGTATGTCCGTTTCTCCTAGATTCATTCGGCAGATAACGGGAGCTTATGGCGCCTGTGAGATTTAAGGTAGGCCACCGCGCAGTGTACAAATGCACTGCAAGCAAGGTATTGTCTACCTACCAGGAGCTTTGATAGGTTCATACGGGCGAATGAAGGACGTACTTTCTCGATGATTCCCAAGGCCGCTCCTACCCCTGCATCCGGTACAGTACCAGGTCTGCTTTACTCCTCGTCCTTTCGTAGCTACTGTGCCACATGCAGGCGTGCATGCGGATTGCCTACGAGCTCGGAGCTAAAAGGGGCCGTTGTCCTCCGGCGATAGGAAACTCGCCCGCACGCGAACTTGTGGAAAAGTATAAATACAAAGTGCGTGACGTGAATCAGCCACCTGGTACAAGCCGATGCGCTACCCTGCGTAGCATTGTATCGATGATAAAACGCCACCGGGGCGTAAGATTTTCATACACGTCTTGTTCGGCGATAGGCCTATACTGCGAAAGTGAGTGTGAACTCAATGAACTGATTCAGTGTGAACAATGGAGAACAGAAGCAGAATGATAAAGATTGGTTATGTGGGGAAACTTAAAAAGAAGATATCACTTACAGCAACTTACTAAGAATTGAATTGTTAAGGCAGGTGGGGACGCGTAACGGACGGTTGTGACGGTAGCGGCTGATTAGAGATTCCCAGTGGCACCTTCCAGTCCCCCCCTCCCCCCCCTCTTTCTCTCTTCTCTCATTACTGGTCGACGCGATAAGAGCAAAACGCAGCCAACGCCCTTCTGCCCTGGCCACTATGGAGAGAGCGAGCGACGAAAGAGCGAAAAGGGGAGAAAAGAGGGGGGGGGGCGGAAGACGGGTGCAAATCGATCAAGCGGCTGCAAACAGGTGTCTGGGTGCCATGCTAGGCAGGGCTAAGTCGGTGCGACGGCGGCCAGTACCGCCCCGGACGCGGCATGGGCCAACCGGAATTATTACCTGCTGTGACATATTTTGTTTACAATACAGTATTTCTGACGCTCATTTTTAGCGGCACGGAGTTTAAAACGAAAAGTACGAGCTGTTGTGAAAATACTTGAGAACACCCACACCTACACGAATGTGTGATCACTGGATGTGTTTAAAAGGGTTCTTGAACGAAAAATGTGTTTAACCGCCTGAGTAAAAGGAGAGCTTTACAAAAATAAAAATGAACTCCAAACAATTTTGTTTTGCAAAGTTCATCTTCCTAATAATTCAAAGTTCATGTGGACTTGACCTGATTATTAGTGATTTAGAACTTTCCGGCTTCAACGAAAAATTATTTTGCACAACGAAAGATACCCGCCGTAGCGGTAGAATCCAAGCGCGGATTACCCCCCC